CTGGCTTGTCTTCCTCCATCTAGGATGCAGGTTCCAAACCCTAAACCCTAAACCCTAAACCCTAAACCCTAAACCCTAAACCCTAAACCCTAAACCCTAAACCCTAAACCCTAAACCCTAAACCCTAAACTGAGGCTTTAGGGGTTGGGCTTTGGGAGAGCTTAGCATCCCTGGATGCTAGGACCCAGAGGAGGCCCTTTTAAAAGGGTACCCCTAAACCCTAAACCCTAAACCCTAAACCCTAAACCCTAAACCCTAAACCCTAAACCCTAAACCCTAAACCCTAAACCCTAAACCCTAACCCTAAACCCTAAACCCTGAGCCCTAAACATATTGATAGTTTACTCTTGGGTCTAGGATACCTCTGCGCACTCCCGCTCAAGGCAGTTGACGATCCTGCCCTTGCCTTGCCGAAGCCGTCACGTGCGGACTGGAAGGCGTTGGCAAGTTTGGGGTTTAGGGTTTAGGGTTTAGGGCTTAGGGCTTAGGGCTTAGGGCTTAGGGCTTAGGGCTAGGGTTTAGTGTTTAGGGTTTAGGGTTTAGGGCTTAGGGTTTAGGGCTTAGGGCTTAGGGCTAGGGTTTAGAGTTAGGGTTTAGGGTTTAGGGCTTAGGGCTTAGTGTTTAGGGTTTAGGGTGTAGGGTGTAGCGTTTAGGGGCAAGGTTTAGGGCTTAGCCGCTCGTGAGTTCCATAGTGTAGGAGAATACTTACTGAGAGTCTTCCCAACTTATGGTCCCTTTATACTTATACTATAATAACCCCCAGAACTCTATTCTATTCATTAAGGCCCCTGCAGTACCTACATGAGGTTCTGCTTTAACTCTGTTTCCTCATTAATAATACAGTGACCTGGCAAGATGGGGGTTGATCTAGGTTAGGATCCCTTTCTTTTGCCAGACTTTCAGACACAGAGTCCCAAGAATGGTCCGTCATGTTTGATCACCAGTCGTGTGTGTCGGCCGGCCAGGGTCATTGACTTGAGCTTGTTGGCCTTAAGCCCTAGATCCTAGACTCTTAAACCGTGACCCTGGATACGAAACTCCGATCTCCGACCTCGGCTTCTATTCCCACGTTTAGGGTTTTAGGGTTTTAGGGTTTTAGGGTTTTAGGGTTTTAGGGTTTTAGGGTTTTAGGGCTTTAGGGTTTTAGGGCTTTAGGGTTTAGGGTTTAGGGTTTAGGGTTTAGGGTTTAGGGTTTAGGCTGTGTGAGGCAGAGCTGCAGAAACTTCGGGCGATGGCCGAGGCTCCCAGCTGTGGGCTTGTGCTCTGTGAGGGGTTTAGGGTTAGGGTTTAGGGTTTAGGGTTTACAGTAGGGTTTAGGGTTTAGGGTTTGGGGTTTGGGGTTTGGGGTTTGGGGTTTGGGGTTTGGGGTTTGGGGTTTGGGGTTTGGGGTTTGGGGTTTGGTTCTGACGCCCGATGCTGGGGCAGGGTTTAGGGTTTGCAGCTGCTTTACTCGGCTTCTGCATGTAAAGCCTAGGGCCTGAAGCCTCACCTCCTTTCGAGGCAGAGGCTTCAAGAGGAGCAAGGAATTCGAACCCCAAACCCTCAAGCCTAGCAAAGCCTTAGCCTATCTAAGCCCTATGCCCTGAACCCTAAAGACAGCTGTCCGTCTTTCGGGTGGCCTCCCGCTTTCACCTATGTAGCAAGGGGAACAGCAGCCATTGTCAAAGAGCGTTAAAGTCCCAAACCTACACCCAACAGTAACCGATAAATCCTCTCAACCCTATAAGCCAGAAACCCCATAAGCCTTACCAACGACGTAAACCGGATGCACCCGATGAACCCCATAGGAACCCCTAAACCCCTAACCCCTAAACCCTAAACCCTAAACCCTAAACCCCCAAGTCCTACAAAGGCATCCTGTCCCCCCTCCTGTTAGGACCCCAGCGTCGCAGACGACGAGAAGATACGCTTGCTTCACGAGGCCATGGTTCAAACCCTAAACAAAAGTTTAGGATTTGGGGTTGCCTAAACCCTTGCCGCGGCTCCAGACTTTCCGGAAAACAACCCCTAACCCTAAACCCTAAAACCCTAAACCCTAAACCCTGTGTTTTGGGCTCGAGTTGCGACCCCTCCCCAAGGAATCAACTTTATGCCTGGAGGCCCCCAAAACGCCCTAGTCTCGGTTGGAGGGTGAGGCGCAGAGGTTCTAGTGTTGAGAAGGGCCCTAAACCCTAAACCCTAAACCCTAAACCCTACACCCTAAACCCTAAACCCTAAACCCTAAACTCCAAACCCTAAACCCTAAACCCTAAACCCTAATTAAGCCCTAAACCCTAAACCCCCTCAAGCCCTAAACCCGAAACCTTGAAAACCTAAAAGCGCCCCCCAGGCGCTGCAACAGCGCATCGAGGACACGAGGTCCAACGAGGAGGTCAAGGTTGGGCGTTTTTTTGGGTTTAGGGTTTAGGGTTTTATGGTATTTAGGGTTTAGGGTTTAGGGTTCAGGGCTAACCCTAAACCCTAAACCCTTGGTAGGGCTCCTGGGGTTTAGGATTTAGGGTTTAGGGTTTCGGGTTTTAGGATTTAGGGTTTTAAAGTTTTAAAAGGGGTTCTTGGGACTTGTTTTGTTCGGGTTTGGGAGAAGGTGTCGACTAGTTAACCCTAAAGATTAGGGGGCCCCCCAGGGTCTGCGGCTTTTGGGTACCATGGGCTTTCTTGAGTTTTCTAGGCTGAGAGACTGTAATCCCTAAACCCCAAACCCTAAACCCCAAACATCAAACCGAGAAGATCCAAAAGGCCTACAATCTCTGGAGCATCAATTTTCAGGTTTGAGGGCTCTGGGGTTTATGGCAGGGCTTGGGGGTTTCAGGGTTTAGGGTGTCGGGTAAGTTTAGGGCTTGTGGATGTCGCTCAGAATAGCAATGCCCCTCAGAGCAATGCAAGTTGGCCTGCACGAATTATTCCGTTCTTCCGCTCCGCCCCTGCCACGGGGTCGGCCAAAACTTAGGGCCCTTCTTGGTACCCTAAACCCTCAAGCCATAAACCCTGAACCCGAACACCCTAATTAACCCTAATCAACAAGCATCACATTCGAATCAAGACCCCACAAGGGCAGAAGATTCAGAATTGGGTCCCTATCCCGTTGGGCTTAGGCGGCCCATAATCGGTCCCCGCACAAGGGAAAAAACCACCGCTTCGACTGGAGTCCCTTGGGGTTGAGCGTTTGGAGGTTTCTAGGTTTTCCCCGAAACCCGAAACCCTAACCCTAAACCCTAAACCCTAAACCCTAAACCCTAAACCCTAAACCCTAAACCCTAAACCCTAAACCCTAAACCCGAAGACGTTGAGCCGCAGGCCTCTGTGCTGAAGCGCCTGGAGACGCTGCGGACCGACCAGGCTCCGTTCGGCGTTGGTGGTTTAGAGTTTAGGGTTGTAGGGTTTCGGGTTCAGCGTTTAGGGTCTAGGGTTTAGGGTTGTAGGGTTGTAGGGTTGTAGGGTTTGAGGGTTAAGTGTTCAGGATTCAGGGTTTGGAGTTTGGTGTTTAGAATTTAGGATTTAGTGTTTCGTCCTTGTTTCTCTGGGTGAGGGTCAGGTGTTCGGGGTGCAGACATCACGGCTGGGCTTCAGTGTTTAGGGTTTAGGGTTTAGGGTTTAGGGTTTAGGGAAACCCTCGAAGTCTCTGTGCGCCGGGCCAGCGTGCAAAGAATTGAAGTGGCGTGCAGGAGATGCGACTGCTGGCCAAGTTTATTTTTGCGACTGGAAGACACAAGCATAGCAACCCCCAAGGTTATTTATACTCATCCCCTAAACCCTAAACCCTAAACCCTAAGCCCTAAACCCTAAACCCTAAACCCTAAACCCTAAACCCTAAGCTCATGATTACCAAGTCCCTCTTTGGGCTTGAGATCGCTTCATATAGTCCCCAAGGTAGTGGGCTTCTTTGGGTTCTCCAAAGTTCCATAGGTCATGCCCGCCATGGTTCATGAGATCGATCTTCTACGAGCGGGTTTAGGGGTTTTGGGGTTTTGGGGTTTTGGGGGTTTAGGGGTTTAGGGTTTTAGGGTTTAGTGTTTTGGGGCAGGCCCAGTAGACACCAGCAACTCGCGACCAACATGGCAACGTTGCAATTCTCATCCCGTGGTGTGCATCCACATGTCTAGACCGTTCCTGAGTCGTTCTCTACTTTTAGTTGATGCTCCCACAACCCTGAACCCTAAACCCTGTGATACGGGCCATAAAAACCACTTAAGGCCGAAAAAGCGGGTCGAAGAACTGACACATGAGGAAACCCTCACGGAAGGCCCCTGTAGGTTACAAGGTGTTGGAAATATTGGTGAGTGTATATGATGCGCGCGCTTTTTTGGGATACTAGTAATAGACACCCTGCTCCATATACCTTGTCCCCAAACCCTAAACCTAGACCCCAAACCCTAAACCCTATACCCTAAACGCTAATCCCTAAACCCTACACCCTTCTTGACGTGAGAGCATGCGTGTGTGCGGATCAGGATCGCTGCGAGATCGAGGCGTCCGATGGGCTGACTTGGGGTTGAGGATTCAGGCTTACTCGGGTGCTCAGCAGTACCCTTATTCCATCTCATTCCCTTTTTTTGGGGGGTGTAGGTGCCCTTATAGGCCCCTGTAAAGAAAAAAGGGATTACTGGGCAGCCTGGCTTAAGCTCGGGAAGTTTGGGTCTTTTTGCAGCAGTCAGGCACTCCTCTGTGCAGGTCTTACTATGCACTTGAAGCCTGCCGGAGGTAAACCCTGCCATGGCCTCAACCCCAAACCCCAAACCCCAAACCCCAAACCCCAAACCCCAAACCCCAAACCCCAAACCCCAAACCCCAAACCCCAAACCCCAAACCCCAAACCCCAAACCCTAAACCCTAACCATAAACCCTAAACCCCAAACCCTAAACCCTAAACCCTATAAGGCTTATTCTGTGACTGCAAGTGCAGCCTGGGTGCGATAGAAGCGCATAGTCGGGCCCAGTTAGGATAACAATGTTATTGCTATGGGCATACTCATCGCCACCGTAGCAAGAACTGTAGCAAGCATATGAACAAGAAGAACAACATTGCCAACACCAAGAATCGGAAGAACAATGGTAAGAACAATGGCAATAAGACTAGTAATATCAACAACCGCCAGTATCAGTACCATGACTGAGACATCTGTAATTATCGTTGCCATTGCTGTTCTTGTTTTGCTAATGTTGTTGCCATTGCACGTATTGCTATGACACTGTTAGAATTGCAATTCTTAAGAAATGTCCAAAGTTTGTTTTACTACTGCTGTTGTCATCATTATTCTTCATTGCTGGGTGTTTCAATCATTAATGTCGTACTGAAAAAATATGTATTCAGAATTAGTTGGTATCGTCAGTTTTGGTTGCTATTTCATTATCGTCATTAGTAGTGTTGTGTTTGGTGTTTATTGTTATTCTTGCTGATGTTGTCGTGATTGTTGTTGGTATGATTATACTCACGGTTAGTGCAATTTGTGTTGTTATTGTTTTAAAACTGTTGTTGCTGTCATTGTGGTGTTTGTTTGTCAGTTTGTTGTTGCTGTCATTGTGATGTTGTTTGTCAGTGTTTTGTGTTCATGATCAAGGGCTTTTGTGTTCATGATCAAGGGCAGCTTGGCGTTTCACGGGTGCCATGCTTGTTTGCTTGTTATGTTCGGTCTAGAGTCAGGGAAAGATGTTCCCATGCAGTGGGCAGATGTTACAAATGTGTCGTCCGTGCTGGGAGAAGGCAAGTTACGTTGCAAGGCTCTGCTGCGGGCCCTTAAAAGAAGCATCGAGCCCTAGTACCCTAAACCCTAAACCCTAAACTCTAAACCCTAAACCCTAAACCCTAAACCCCGATCCCGAAGTTCCTCCACTCCTTCCATCTGCCTTCAGATCCAGCGCATCAACAACATCAAGGTTAAGCTCGAGGCGCCTTGCATACCAGCTGTGCTGGTTGCGGGAGCTTCCACGCTTGACTGGTTTCAGCCCGAAATACCCTACATGCCCAAAATGAGTACTAGTAAGTACGGTAAATATTCTCATAAGTACCCTAACTTTCCCTCAATACCCTAAAAGCCCTGCATACCCTGAAGAAAAAATAAGTAAACAAATACATATAAATATAAATAAATAAATATATATATATACATTATTTTTTTCTGGAGAGTGCGTCGGAATACAGGCCTGTGTTTTTCAGGTCCAAAACACATATTTTTCATGAATTTACCTTATTTGTGACCATACTTACAATACCTGCATACAGACTATGAGAACCTCCATCCGGATACATTTAGTTTTAAAAACAAACTTAAAATCCTTTAAATCTTGAAGAAGGGAATCTTCATCCATCTAATTTTCGAAAAAATCTGTAAGTCTTGGAGAAATTTGAATTGTAGTCTTCAAAAATCTAAATGGGAAGGGCCCGGGGCCCCCCATACCCATTTATGTTTTTTTAAAACCTTTCAAGTCCTTAAAGCAAATGCATTCGGACCCCTTCCCATTTGATTAATTAATGACTTTAAAGGTTTTTCAAGGCTGTTAGAAACTTTAAAGCCCTGAAAAAAGTCGGGCCCCTTCCCATCTAGTTTGTCAAAGGTATTCAGATATTGGGGGGACCAGGGGCCCGCCCCAGTTATTCTGTAAGGATTCTCAACATGACCATACTTACAATACCTGCATACAGACTATGAGAACCTCCATCCGGATACATTTAGTTTTAAAAACAAGCTTAAAATCCTTTAAATCTTGAAGAAGGGAATCTTCATCCATCTAATTTTCGAAAAATTCTGTAAGTCTTGGAGAAATTTGAATTGTAGTCTTCAAAAATCTAAATGGGAAGGGCCCGGGGCCCCCCATACCCATTTATGTTTTTTTTTTAACCTTTCAAGTCCTTAAAGTAAATGCATTCGGACCCCTTCCCATTTGATTAATTAATGACTTTAAAAGTTTTTCAAGGCTGTTAGAAACTTTAAAGCCCTGAAAAAAAAGTCGGGCCCCTTCCCATCTAGTTTGTCAAAGGTATTCAGATATTGGGGGGACCAGGGGCCCGCCCCAGTTATTCTGTAAGGATTCTCAACATGTTAAGGACCTTTAAAATGTTGAAAATAATGAAAATGGGAAAGGTTTAGAGTTAAAACCTATAAAAGGGCGGGGGGGGGGGGGGCTTTTAAGATCCTAAAAAATTGAATTGGGCGCCCCATTTAATTTTTTTTTGGGGGGGAGGGCTTCTAACATCTCCAAAATATGCAAAATCATTAAATCTTTAAAATCTGTAAAGTTTAATTGGGGCCCCATTTAAACTTTCAAGGTGAGGCCTTTTAAAATCTTTTAAAACTTAAAACCATTAAAATTTTACTGAGGCCCCCCACTTAAAGTTTAAAGGGGGGAGGCCCTTTTACAATCTTTAAAATCTTTAACGTCTCTAGAATTTAATCGGGGCCCCTAAGTAAACTTTTTTTTTTGGGGGGGGGGTTTGAAAATCTTTGAAATTGAACTGGGGGCCCCATTTAAATTTCAACGGGGGAGCCCCCTGCTAAACTCTGTAAAACCTTTGAAACCTTTAAGATCTTTAAAGCTTCATTGGGGCGGGGGGCGGGGGCTTTTTTAAATCTTTACAAAACCTTTAAAAGTGAATTGGGGGGGCCCATTTAAACTTCAAGGGCGGGGGGGAGCCCTTTCAAAATCTTTAAAATCATTAAAACCTGTATAAATCTTAAAATTTCATTGGGGTTCCATTTAAATGTTCAAGGGGAGGCCCCTTTTCACAAATCTTCAAAAAACTTTAAAAACATACTTGGGGTCACATATAAATTCGAGCGGGGGAGCTCTCTATTAAAATCTGAAAAACTTTTAACATCTTTAAAATTTATTTGGTGCACCCCAATTTTCATTTGAAAGGGGGAGGGCCTTCAATTATCTTCAAGAACTTGAAATTTCATACTCTTTCAAATTTACATGGGGGCTCCAAGTAAATTTTAAAGGGGCAGGCCCCTTTTACAGTCTTTAAAATCCTTAATATTTAACCCACTTAAAGCTTCAAGGGGGGAGGCCCCTTTTAAATCTTCAAACACCTTTAAAATCTTTAAAATCTGATTGGTGGCCCCCAATGAAATTTTAAAGGGGAAAAATAAAATAAAATAAAAAAAAAATATATATATATATATATATATATGTATTTTTTTTTTTTTTTTGCCCCCCCCCCCCCCCCCCCCCCCCCGCGGATTTTTTTTTTGGTTTTTTTTGCCCCCCCCCCCCTCCCCGGAGAGACCAGGACGAAAGTCCATACTCTGACCGCCACGCAATCTCTGAAACTGAGCATTATTTAAGAATATGCCTACTCATTACATTTGGGTAGTAGATGCATGTGTGTCCAGCTTTGATACGTTGAGTTGTACATTTATAGTTTTAGCTTAAAACACTGACCTACGAAAAACTCGGGCCTGCAGTGCGACGTTTTCTGTATATATATATATATATATGTATGTGGATTAAAACCAAAAACTTAAATGTGCCGAGTGGTTTTGAAGGGGTCGGATGCCTCCACAGCCGCCGAAACCCTAAACCCTAACCCCAAACCCTAAACCCGAAACCCTAAACCCTGAACCCTAAGTTTAGATGGGGCTCCAGATTGAGCCCAGATTTTCGGCTTCGGGTTTAGGAGCTGTAGGGCCTAGGGTTTTGGACATGATCCCTTTGGTTGCCCCCCCAAACCCAAAACCCTAAACCCTAAACCCTAAACCCTAAACCCTAAACCCCTAACCCCCTAAACCCCAACCCCTATATTCTGCCCAGAGGCCTGCTGCCGAGAGCAGAAGGAGACGATGACCAACTTGGCCAAGGCAGGCTTCGATTTTGGCTTTGTGGGACGTTTAGGGTTTAGGGTTTGGGGTTTGGGGTTTTGTGGTTTTGGGGGTTTTAGGGTTTTGGGGTCTTCGGTTTTAGGGCTGTTTGGGGTGCTGGGATATGTGGTGGGTTTTAGGGTTTACAGCCTGGCGTCAAGGTTCTGGGTGTGTTGCTGTGAGGGGCTTGTTGGTTAGGGGTTAAGGGTTTAGGGTTTCAGGTTAAGGGTTTGGTGTTTAGGGTTTAGGGTTTTTTGCTTTCAGACTTCATGCAGTGCACGAAAGCGGCCTGGAGCCTCGATTCTCCCCCAGCACCTGGCACTCATACTCGCCCGAGGCACATGCACAACACAAACCGCTGCGAACCTGAACCGTGAAGCCATTAGCGTTGCTTGGGGTGGAAACCCCCTCCCCGCCCCACCCTAAAACCGAAATCTAGAACCCTCAGCCCTCATCCCAAGTCCTAAGTGCTAAGCCGAAAGACCTGAGCCCTAAACCCCAAAGTCTAAACTCTGAAGCCTAAGGACCTGAGCCCCAAACCTTAAATCCTGCCCCCCAACCCCGAAGCCACGAGCCCACGTCGGGTCTAAGGGTTTAGGTTTCCGGGATTATGGGTACAGGAGAACCAGCAGATTGCAGAAGAGGAACAGAGTCGCCACACTGAGCTGAAGGCGAGGGGGCTTAGGGTTCAGGGTTCAGGGTTCAGGGTTTAGGGTTTAGGGTTTAGGGTTTAGGTTTTAGGTTTTGGGGTTTGGGGTTTAGGGTTCAAGGGGACTCCCTCCCACCAACTTAGGTGTTTGTGTGTTGTGTGTTGTTCTTGTCCTTTGTCTTTCTGTTCCCAAGCAGTGTGTCAACTCTACAGTAAGGGGGTTCTACCGTTCAGAGGAACCTCTGGGGTGGCGAGCTCCGAAACTGTCGCCTTATGGACCCACATGGTCTCTCGCTGTTTCGGTTTCGGGTCTGCGCTGGCACATTTTTATTTGTGTTTTTTTTTTGGGGGGGGGAGGTTGGTGAGTGCTAAGCCGGCTTGCCCAGCCACATGCAGGAGCAAAACAGCCGCGGGGTCCCGATGAAGTTTGGGATGTGGGGCTTAGGGTTCCTACATTGACGGGGGGGCCAGGAGCACGGAACTTTCGTCCCCCACGCTCATGAGATCCCAAAGCCGGGATTTTGCATGACAGCCCCTTCCCCAGTCTGAATGGGTAGTTCTCCAAATTAGGGTCCCTTTTGGGGGTCCTTCTTTTAAGGGTGTGGTACTATAAGACCCACAAAGGGACCCTGCTTTAGAGAACTGCTCACATGGAGATCCCCTCAGTCGGCGACCATAGAATTGAATACCCTGAGCCCTCAATGGGGTTTAGGGTTTAGGGTTTAGGGTTTAGGGTTTAGGGTTTAGGGTTTCGGCTTAGGGATTAGCAGGTCCAGGCGGTTTTTGCTGGGAGCTCGATCGCTGATGCGTGGTTTTTTTAGGGGTTAGGGCCATTCGGGCTCCTCAAACGCCTGGAGCCGACATCCCCAACTACAGGCCCTAAGCTCTCGAAGCCTTTGCTGCATCAAATATATACATATACATATACACATATATATATATGTTTACATTTATTCATTGTCATTTATGCTTATGTAATATTTATTCATTCATGTATATCATTTCGCTATATATATATATATATGTGAAACATCCGGTGGAGGACAAGTTCCAGGCGGCCATCAAGGACGTGCAGGAGAAGATGGACGCGGAGCTGGAGGCTTCGGGGCTCAATCCCTAAACGCCCGAAACCCCTCAAGGTTTAGGGTTTAGGGTTTGGGGTTTAGGGTTTAGGGTAAGGGGTTTTGGGGTTTAGGGTGTAGGGTTTTAGGGTTTAGGGCTTAGGGTTTAGGACTTTGGTTCGTGAAGCCCCAAGTGACTCCCTTGGCTTGGGGCGCGTTTGGCCTTTAGTGTAAGACTGCCTCGAGCCAAAAATGCCCTTTAGACCGAACTCTCGTCACAACCGAGCCCCTAGGTTTTAAACCCCCAAGCCCTAAGCGCTACACGCTCTTAAATCCATACGTTATATACCCCAACTTCGTCCGACCCCAGCTCCTAAACAAAGGGTTTAGGGTTTAGGGTTAGGGTTTAGGGTTTAGGGTTTAGGGTTTAGGGTTTAGGGTTTAGGGTTTAGGGTTTAGGGTTTAGGGTTTAGGGTTTAGGGTTTAGGGTTTAGGGTTTAGGGTTTAGGGTTTAGGGTTTAGGGTTTAGGGTTTAGGGTTTAGGGTTTAGGGTTTAGGGTTTAGGGTTTAGGGTTTAGGGTTTAGGGTTTAGGGTTTAGGGTTTAGGGCATGTCATGTCTTAAGTGTCTGACCAGCTTGAGCACGCGGGGCCGTTGCCGAAGTAGAGTTGCGAGGGCATGGCCCAGACCAAAAAAAAACAACGCCCTAAACCCTGAACCCTCAACCCTAAACCCTAAGCCTTCTAAACCCTAAACCCTAAACCTTGCGAAGATTTTGCCCTTGAGCAGCTCTACTTAACGTGGCCCTCTGTCGCCCTTTAAACCAGGGCAGTAGCTCTGAATGAATTTGGGTTTAGGGGTGTGGGGTTTAGAGTTTAGGGGTGAGGGTCGGCACATGGTGCCCATAGACCACGAGTACTTTTGCTTACCCCAAACCCTTCGACCTGAATTTAAAAACCCTGGGCTCTAAATTGGGGGGGGGGGTTTCCGAAAATGGGGGTACTCTTTTGGGGATCCCTTTTAAGGAACTGAATTCTATTTGGGGTATAACTCAGAACCCTAAACCCTAAACCCTAAACCCGATTTTGGGAAATAGCCAAATCCTTAAGCCCAAGCCAAAACAGCCGCCCCAAGATGCCACCGAAGCCTTGGAGAAGCACCCTAAACCTTAAACCCCAAACCCTCGACCCTAAACACCAACCCTAAACCCTAAACCCTAAACCCCAAACCCCAAACCCCAAACCCCAAACCCCAAACCCTAAACCCTAGCAGGTGCGGCAAGGCTTCCTGAAAGAGAACGACGACCTACGAGGCCGGAGCACGGTCTAACTGGAGGAGTTGGGCTTTGAAAATATTCTCTACTATCGATCATGTATGGTTTAGGGTCTAGGGTCTAGGGTCTAGGGTCTAGGGTTTAGGGTTTAGGGTTTAGGGTTTAGGGTTTAGGGTTTAGGGTTTAGGGTTTAGGGTTTGGGGTCTACTATCGATCATGTGTTTTTTCGCGATCCGTTGTTGTTTATGCTCGTTCATCCTTGGTCCGTTCGTCCATTGCTTTGTATCTATTACATACTATCTGTTAGTTTCTTGTGAGGCGCATAATTTCATATGCATAGTACGTACACACACACACACATCCATAGATGATAGCTTAATGACTATGTATCATACACATCTTGTGCATTTGTGGTGCGGCTCACCGCAGTGCGTCTTCATAAACCCTGACCTGCAACACCGGCACCGCATCGCCCACCAGGCAAGTTGCAGAAGTTCAACGAGACCTACGAAACACAGGCCGCGGGGAGCCCTAAACCCTAAACCCTAAACCCTAAACCCTAAACCCTAAACCCTAAACCCTAAACCCTAAACCGTGGGGCTTCGGAAGGCACCCTACACCCGACAGCCCTCAAACCTGCCATGCCACCACCCTAAAGTAGGGTTGGGCCCGTACCAGCGTACCAAGCATCAACAAAGCACTGAAAACCTAAACCCTAAGCCCTAAACCCTAAGCCCTAAACCCTAAGCCCTCAACCCTCAACCCTCAACCCTCAACCCGAATCCCGAAACCCTAAACCCTAAACTCTAAACCCTAAACCCTAACCCTACCTGTCCCGGAATCTCAGAACCTTTGAGGTTCAGGTTAGCCCCTGCAACCCTTTGCCCCCCCCCCCCACCCTCCCCAAAACCCTTAACCCTACAGCCTGTGGGGGGTTTCGGGTTGAGGGTTTAGGGTTTAGGGTTTCCCCAAACCCCGGCAAAAGCCCCCAAACCTTAAACCCAGAGCTCTAAACCCTACGGCCCTAAGCAGCCTACTAGTACCAGGAGGGGCAACTGGCCGAGCAGCAGGAAACCCGCAACAAGGAGATGCAGGCAATGGGGAAGTTTACTTGAAGGTTCTAGGGTTTATGGGTTATGGGTTTAGGGTTTAGGTTTTCCCCGGCAATTTATGCAATGTCGGGTGCTGCAGTGCAGCATGATGTGGTGTACTGTAGCCCAACGCAACTAGGGTTAGGGTAAGTAAGGTTCTACGGATGGTACATATGGTGGTAACCTTATCCCTAAACCCTAAACCCTAAACCCTAAACCCTAAGAACCAGACTTATGGCTGTTCATGAGCCTCCCAGTCGGGGTTTTGAGGCGTTGAGGGAGGGATTGGGCGGTTTAGAGCGTTGAGGGGTTTATGGCATTCAGTGCTTGTAGCGCTTCTAGGGCTATCAGGTGGGGGTGTTAGATGGCTTGCAGGCTTTGGGGGATTGGGGTTTCATGTGTCCCCAGGCTCCAGTGCTTTCAGGCTTTTGGCGCTTCGGGGTTTTTGTCGCCTTCGGGCTCTTTGTGTTCAGGCTCCGCAGGGTAAGGGAGAGCTTCCAGGGTTTGGGGATTAGCGGTGCGCAGACTTTCCGGGCTCAGGGCTCTACAAGGGGCTCAGGGCTTGAACATAAGGGGTGTCTCTAAAGCAAGGGATACAGTTCCAGAATGCCTGATTTCATTGAGAACAAGAGCCAAATTCAGGGTTTGGGGAGCTGTAAGGGGTTAGGGCTCGTGATGCTGAGCCGCTGAGCACCCTAGAGTCCTACAAGCCTCCAACGCTCGGCCCCAGACCCGCAACCCTTGAACCCCAAAAGCCCCCACTTGGAGGTTCATGGGTAGGTATGGTAACTATACTTATAAACTTCTTTAGGGTACTTCTAACGCTACTTTTAAGTACCCCTGAGCCCCCAAGCCCCTCTAGTCCAAGAATCGGTAGTGGAAAGGCCGCCCAAGAACGGCTGACGGAGCACGAGGTGCCTTTAGGGTTCAAAGTTTCCTGCTCTTCGGGTTCTTACGGTAGAGGGTTCAGAGTTTCGGGTCCAGTTCAGAATTCCGAAGTGAAGAGTGCAGATGAGGGCCGTTCAGATGCGACGTGGGATGTGGTACGTAGTCGTGGTGGTAGAGGAAGCCAGGACATGACTGCCGCATCACTGACTGCAACGGTTGTATCAAACATCAGCCAGAACAAACTCCCCACATCATCCCAAACCGAGGGTATTTTACAAGACAGTAAGTCACCACTTTTGTCTTCAGTCTCCTGCCTTATAGAATAGCATATCACCACTTACCAACGGGTTCGTATTCTAGCTGTTTTGAACAACAGCTAACATTGTAGTATGTTGCGGAGACGAGTTCATGTGGTCAATTAGGAAATATTGGTGTATTCGACCTTCCTTTGTATCTTGATGAAGTGGGTGCTGTGTCAGCTCCGGATGCTTGAGGTTTGCTTTTGCTTGGCCTTGGAAGTTGGAAGCACTGACCCTTCTATACAGACCCCATGCCTAAAACCCGCCTACGGAAGTTTTGTTCGGCAGGCGATGTGTGCTGCTTCGAAGGTGAATGCCTCACAGCTGGAGAAGCAGAATGAGGCGGCAAGAGTACATCGCAGCTGTGAGCTATAGTCTGCGTGTTAAAAAAAAACCGTGCCCAGAAGCATTTGTCCATTGCACTTGTCTTAGGAAGCATCGACCTCATCTTTATTGTACCTAAGAATCGTGCAAATGCGGACTTGCTAAGAAGCGCCTACAAAATGGGGCAAGTGTTGGGGGTCTGGAGATAGACATACTTGAGGTTCAGGGTACTTGTCACCCCAATTAGGGGTTTAGGGTTTAGAGTATATGTCTCTTTATAACCCACCTAGAGGCGGTATAAGTGCAGTAAAATTTCGGGTTGAGAACTGACCAAGTGCAGGTTGACTTAAGTAATTACTATTTGTTGAAGACCCCCCCCCCCCCCTCTCCCCTAACAAATCCGGTGATGCTGGAAAAAACCAGCCGGCAGCTTATTAAACCCTGCCATCGGACGATGGCGAGGCCAGCACGACCAAAGCCATGTGCACCCCTTTGTATCGGAAAACAGCCTCATATTTTTAGGGAGTGGCGTTGTGAGACTTCATCAAGCAAGCCCCCCAAAACATGTACGAAAAAGGATGCACCAGAGTTTTAACTAGCTTCTAAGGGTCCGGAGCTCACCTAGCAACCTTGCAGTCTGGACCCTCAACCCCAAACATCACTTTGTGGTACTTTGCCGTAGCTTTAGATCCTTACCTTTTTTGGGTTTATTGGGCTTCTTAGTAAGTCAGCTGAAGGTTTAATTTAGAGCTACCCTCCTGAGTGCAGCCAAGATTCAACTTCCTCTTGTGCTGGCGACCTGAAGGTTCTCAAGAAGACACAGACAACCCTGCAGAACGACCTGCAGGGCATTCTGAAGAAGTTCGTCCACCTCCCAGCAGGGGTTTAGGGGTTTAGGGGTTTAGGGGTTTAGGGGTTTAGGGGGTTTGGGGGTTTCGGGGTTTCGGGTTTTCGGGTTTTGGGGTCTTGGGGTTTGGGGTTCAGGCGGGTTTTGGGTTCAGGGTGTATTTTGGGGTTTCGGGGTTTAGGGTTTAGGCGTTTAGCGGTTTAGAGGTTTAGGGGTGTTGGGGTTTTCGGGTTTTGGGGTTTCGGGGTTTCGGGGTTTATATTTGTAAGTAGGGTTTAGGGTTTAGGAGGTTCATGGGATTCAGGACTCCTCCAGAAAGATCCCTTAGAAGCTTATGTAGAGACCCACGCATTGCGAATATGGACGTCATCATGTGGGGACGTGGATGCTCTGGGCAGCACATAACTCTACGTATTCATGATCCTTCGAGCTGGGTTGTGGGTGTTCTGTTCCGGCTGAGGACGAGTTCTCCCAGCAAGTCACTGGCTCCAACAAGCGCCATAGCCGCTTGCTCAGGGTTTCCCTTTCTGGTTGTGGGGTTTAGAGTGTTTGCGGAGAGGACGGAAGGAGAGGGGGTTCAAGGACTTTGGGGTTTGGGGTCTTGGGATGTAAGTGACGCGGAGTATGTAGCTCTCGGAACAACAGGAGTTTCTAGGAGCCCAAATAAGGAGACTGGCTTGATAAAGGGAAACCCCCACATTTCCCTGGAGACTGGAATCAGGGAAATTTTGCGTGGTCGAGATCGAAGCATTTGAAAAAGATTGTGACGGTTTGTGTAAGTCTCTCTGGTGGCAGTTTAGTGGCATAGTTTCGCTTGAAAAGCTAGCCGAGGCACGCGCCCACTATTTTCTGCATAGTGCGCATCCGTACGTACCGTTACCGTATCCCCCACTCAAACACCGAAGCCTCCCCGTCCCGACTCTCCACCAGACTTCTGAATCTGTAATTGGTAGCACGTTTCACGCTCGACCGCCGGGGACATGCAAAAGTTTTTTTGGGGGCTGTATGTATGTATGTATGTATATCTGTAAATTATCGAGGGTTCACCAGTTCTGAGCAGCGCAACCCCAAACCCTAAGGAAGCACATCGAGTAGCCACTTTAGGGTTAGGGTTTAGGGTTTAGGGTTTAGGATTTAGGGTTTAGGGTTTAGGGTTTAGGGCTTAGGGCTTAGGGCTTAGGGTTTAGGGTTTAGGGTTCAGGGTTTTGGGTTTAGGGTTTAGGGTTTAGGGTTAGGGCTTAGGCCATGGACCATGGACCATCCAGAGCCTGATCTTAGAAGCTTTTCTGCCAGGGCTCTGAAGTATGGGCGCTAGAGGTTTTAAGCGGCACATGCGGTTTCCTCATAAAATGAAAGGCCCGAAGGCCCCTTGCAACTACCCCTAAACGGTGAACCTTCAGTCTGGAACTCGAAACGTTTAGGGTTTGGGGTTTAGGGTTTAGGTCCCTTGCCTGCTTTTCAGGGTTCTGAAGTGGGTTGTAGAGGGTAGATCAGGATGTACAAAAGGGGTCCCCTTTGAAGTGCCCATATTAAGGAACCATGTAACTCCTTGAGAATGTGTGGGGGGGGGGGGGGGGGGGAGCTCTAAACCCTAAACCCTAAACCCTAAACCCTAAACCCTAAACCCTAAACCCTTGCAAAACCCTAAGCCCTAAACCCTATAGGGGTTTATGGAGGGGGGGATTAGGGGAACCCATGAGAGCTCGAGCCAGGTGAGTGCAAGGAGGAGATCGACTCGCTGCAGTCGCACATGGAGGACCCAGCTTTGCACCTTCCACCTCAACCCTTTGCATGCCCACCCTAAGCCCTAAACTGAAAGCCCTAAACCCTGAACCCTAAACCGTAAACCCTAAACCCTAAACCCTAAACCCTAAACCCTAAACCCTAAACCCTAAACTGAAAACCCTAGACTCTGAACCCTGAACCCTAGCCCGGTTCCCTAATAAACTTGCTGCGGTTTGCGGCCTCATTGGAACGATACACAGGCCACTCCTTGAGTCAGAGCTCTCAGAACCCAAGAAGCTAGAACCCCGCAGCCCTGAACTCTAAACCCTAAACCCTGCAAAACCCTAAAGCCCTAAACCCCAAAACCCTAAACCCCTAAAAACACTATAACCCTACAAGCCTAAATCCCAAAACCCAAAAACCACCAAAACCCTGTAAACTCTAAAACCCCAAACCCTAAACCCTAAACCCTAAACGCTAAACCCTAAACCCTAAACCCGAAACCCTAAACCCTAAACCCTAAACCCCAAACCCTAAACCCTAAACCCTAAACCTTACAGGGGGCTTGCTCTGCAGGAGAGCCCCATATTTCCTTTTTTTAGGGTTGGGGTTCCTTTATCATCCCCTTAACACCAAAACAGGGCACCCTTTTTAATTTCTGGGTTACTCCTGGGTCGCCCTAAACCCTAAACCCTAAACCCTAAACCCTAAACCCTAAACCCTAAAACCCTAAAACCCTAAAACCCTAAAACCCTAAAACCCTAAAACCCTAAAACCCTAAACCTTAAACCCTAAACCCTAAACCCTAAAACCCTAAACCCTAAGCAGGAGCTGGAGAAGGAGAACGTCGACTTGCGCAACAGCGCGCGCCTGGCTGAGCTCACCTCCGAACAGCAGGCGGGGGTTTAGGGTTTTTAGGGATTAGGGTTTAGGGTTTAGGGTTAAGGTTCAGGATTTAGGGTTTCGGGTTTAGGGTTTTTGTGGGGTTTAGGGTTTTAGGGATTTAGGGAATTCAGGGGGTCCTAGGTCCTACAATGTTTGGGTGCAGGGGCGTTTAGGGTGTTAGTGTTTTTTGGCTTTTGGGTTTAGGGGGGTTTAGGGTTTTAGGGTTTTAAGGTTTCAGGATTCAGTGTTTAGGGTTTAGGGGATGCAGTGGTGCTTGGAGGGGGTTCGGGCGTTGAGGAGGTTGAGTTGTTTGTTTGGGTTTTAGGGCTTAAGTGTTGAGAAGCATGAGAGCATTTTGTCTCTCGACATCGGTACGACCACAACAGAACTCGCCTTCGGGCGTTTTGTTAACTCAAGAACAGTACGATGCCATGGCGTGTGATCATGAAGAGGATCATTATTGTTATGGTAATGAGGTTTCATGGCGACACACCTGAAAGCCAAGAGCTTAAAACCAATTCCGCAGTGCAGTGGCACCTTCCGCAGGTGATGCAGAAGCAGCGGGACGCCCTCGAAAAGCTGTGCGATAACTTGCAGAAGGAAGCACTGCCGGGGTTTGGGCTGGTCTAGAATTCTTGGCCCTGCTATAGACGTGATCCCAAATGCTGCCCCTATTCAACACTGGTGGGTGTATGTGCAGACGAGTGGGCTTGCAGTTTCGAGGGGCGGGGGGGGGGGGAGGCTGGCGGTTCCATGGCGTTCTTTGTTGGTTTTGTCGTGGAGAAAAATGTGACCCCTAAACCCTAAACCCTAAACCCTGCGTGTGCCACGAGAGGCTAGCCTTCATTCACGACCCCGAGCTGCCTGTCCCAGCAGACTCGACAGAGCTCAAATCACAAAGAAGTTCTTCAAAACATTAATGTAACCTCCCTCCCCTCTCTCCATTCCCTTCACCCCAAAAAATATCGATTCTTTTACTTCGAACATCCCCACCCTACAGATTTGGATTTTTTCACTCCAAGCACACTCTGCCGTTGGGGCGCTCCAGGGACACTCTGGGGATATCCTGCTTTGGGATGCGGGTGATGGGCGAGGAGCAGATGGGGGCGAGGAGAAGAGTTGAGTTTATAAATTATTTCACTTCGAACATCCCCACCCTCTCTTGGTAGATAGACTCTGGGGTTGGGCACTCCAGGGACACTCTGGGGCTGGGCACTCCTGGGACAATCTGGGCTTGGGCTCTCCTGGGGGAGGAGAAGAGTTCCGGGCGAGGAGAAGAGTTGAGTTTAAAATCTATCAACCCCACACCGAGGGTGGGGGAAAAAAACTAAGAACCCTACACTGAGGGTGGGGAGTACAGAAAACCCTAAACCCTAAACAGAGGCCCAAAGCAAGGTGCTGAAGCTTGAAGCGTTTGCCTCTCAACCCTTTCCAGACTGAAACACGACAGCCCAAGCCCTTATCATGGCTATCATGGCTGGGGTTAAGAGTTTAGGGTTTAGGGTTTGGGGTTTAGGGTTTAGGGTTTGGGGAGGATCATATTTCGGAATCGTTTTGCCAAGCTAGGGGGGCCTCCCCAAATCCCAAACCCAACAACCAAGCCCTAAGACCTGAACCCCCGACAGTCCAAAAACTGACACCCTAAATACTAAACCCGAAAGCCCTAAACCCCAAGCCCGAAAGCCCTAAAACTCTAAAACCCTGAACCCTGAACCCTGAACCCCAAACCCTAAAAACCCTAAACCCTAAAACCCCTAAACCCCTAAAACCCCCTGCGGAGGAGAACCAGCGCCTGAAGCAGCAGCTACCGGAGAAGCGATGATGCACCCATGGGCTGCCGGGGGACCCTACGCTTGTGTTGCTGTTGGGGGTTGAGGGTTTAGGGTTAGGGTTTAGAGTTTTAGGGGTTACCGTGAGAAGTAAACCATACTATGTACGTACCAGAGTTACTAGAGATGTCCTAAGAAGGAGAACCGTGTTTGTACCAGACATATCCTAAACCCTAAACCCTAAGCCCTGCTCCCTAAACCCTTACCTTAGCTGAAAGGAGCTGAACAGCAAGCCAGTGAAACTCCCAGTCTGCCTTTTGGGACCTTCGGGTTAGGGAGGGCTTAGGGTGTTGGCGGATAGGAGTCATGTGTAGACTTTAGACCCTACTTTGGTGTCTTTTTCTAGGACCCAGAGTAGGCCCTTCTTCCCTTTTCTTTGGGGTTTAGGCTCCCTTATCAGCCCCTTTTTGGACCCAAAAAGGGCGCCCCTTTTTCTTCCTGGGTGACGTATGTGTGTATTTGGATTAGGGCCTTGCCCGAGTCCAGCCGCAGGGACAGGTTTTAACAACGTCCTAGTTACATGGCTCCTAGAACCTGCTAAGCCAAGCAAGAATCTCGGGTTTAGGGTTTGTGTAGGGCCAAGCCCTAAACTCTGCATCCAAAGCCTATCAATCCAAAACCTGCCCAGGCCAGCAAGTGATCCGACAAAGTTCTGCCAAGACGGCGAGGTCACGAGAACTGATCTTTCATATACTGGTACGAAATCCTACCTGAAAGAGCCGATGAGTCCTTAAACAGGGAGGTGTGCCGTAATTCTGCGTGCAGACCCCAAGTCCCCAGTCCTCAAAGGTTGCTGCCCCCAGCTTGTTAAGTTCATGTCCCCGAACAAGGTTGAATTTAGGCTTCTACACCACAACGTCTGTAGAAGCGTGACAGTCTTGGGGGGCAACCGCCTTCGGCCGTACACAGGGATTGAGAGACAGTCTTGGGGGGGGCAACCGCCTTCGGCCGTACACAGGGATTGAGAGATTTATGTGCAGAAGCTAAAGTGAGGGTCATGCTGCAAAAATCCTGTTAGGAGGTGCAATGTCAAGTGTTAGGGCTTAGGGTGTAGGATGTGCGAGATCGAGCGGGCACTTAAGACGGCAAGTGCCACGGCCTCATGTTTGTTGCAAAATACAGTTCCGAAGCTTGCAACGGCAAACGGTCCGCGATCTGCTCGAGTTCGGGGCCTCATAGTGCTAGCCACACTGAGCATGTCAACGTTTCGCTCGCGACCTCACATCAGGGACAGTAATGCTCGTTCGTCCTGGCAGCGATGCAAGAGAATGAAGTCTCACGTCCAGATGCGCACGTGAGCTGCGATGACACCAGGAGAAAAAGAAGGGTGTTGCTGCTGCTTCTGACTGCTTCTGCAGTCACTGCAGAGCTTCTGAAAAGAAACGTGTGACATCCTTGCTTGCCGAAAGAAGGACAACAAACGCAAGATTTGATTCGACCATGTGTGCAACGCAGGCGCACCAGGCTATCGCGAGCGCCAGAGGGCCTCAATTTTGCGGATGAGCTCCTACACGGTCCGTTCCAGTGCATGCCACATCTGTTAGCAAAAGTCATGGCCTGCTCGCAATGGAGAGGGAAGTTGGTGGGCAGTAGTATCTAGGAATTGCTACAGCGGCGACTGCGCTGCTTGAAGACTACTTTTTTTACTCCGAAGGAAGAAATTGTACAATGGGATGCATCCTGGTTGCAGAGGCTCACCTGGGCGGAGCGCAGTAGCCCTCCAACCCTCCAGCCCTCCAATCCTCCACACTCCAACCCTCTAACCCGCCAACCCTCTCGAACCCTAAAGCCCTGAACCCTCAAATTCTAAACCCTAAACTCCTAAGACCCAAGCCCGGAGAAAGCATGGAGTCTGGCCACATGCACGGCGCTCCTCAGCGCGATGCGCCAGGCCACGCAAACCCTAAACCCTAAACCCTAATAACCCTAATAACCCTAAACCCTAAACCCGAAACCCTAAACCCTAAACCCTAAACCCTAAACGGTTTAGTTTGTGGTTTGGGGGGGCCGTGAGGGGTTTTCGGCAGCTTTCGGGTTCCAGGCGCTTCACGGGCTTGAAGGGGGGAGTTTAGGGCTGCGGGGTTAATGTTGCGGGTTTAGGGTTTAGGGTTTTAGGGTTTTAGGGTTTTAGGGTTTTAGGGTTTTAGGGTTTAGGGTTTTAGGGTTTCAGGGTTTCAGGGTTTTAGGGTTTTAGGGTTTTAGGGTTTTAGGGTTTTAGGGTTTTAGGGTTTTAGGGTTTTAGGGTTTTAGGGTTTTAGGGTTTTAGGGTTTTAGGGTTTAGGGCTGCAGCTTAAAGGTTTAAGGTTTAGGGTTTTAGGGTTTAGGGTTTAGGGTTTTGGGTTTTGGGGTTTAGGGGTTTAGGGGTTTAGGGAAGCTTGGGATAGGGCTTCAAGATGTCTCAAGCATGTACAGGAGGTTTAGGGTATATCTATAAGGGTTTGTCGGGCCCTTTCAGGGGTCTAGGAAGGAAGGTTTCAGGCACATGTAAGGGAATAATATACAGGGTGTGGGAGTTGGCGTTGGTTCAGGGTTTATGGGGTAGACATTGGGACCCTAAACCCTAAACCATGAAAACCCTAAGTCTTCAGGCTGCAGCGCATTTGCATTGCGCAACTTACGGGTATCCTGGAAGCAAGGGTTCAGGGTTTAAGGTTTAGGGTTTAGGATTTAAGACCAGCGAAGCCCCCCAAACAAACTCACTTTCGGGCTTAGGATGTAGGGTTTAGGGTTTTTAGGGTTTTTTAAAGGTTTTTTGGGTTTCTTCAGGGATTTGTTGGGTTTCTGCAGTTTCTTTAGGTTTTTTCGGGTGTTAGGGTCTTTCTGGGGCTTTTTTAGGGTTTTTTGGGGTTTTGAGGGTGTGGAGGATTACCCGGTACCTTGAACCTTTGACACCCTAACCCTAAATCCTAAACCCTAACCCTAAACCCTAAACCCTAAACCCTAAACCCTAAACCCTAAACCCCAGGGGCTCCGCGCAGGCAGCCCTGCCGCTGCTGGTTTGCCTGTCTGCGCTTCCCCTGCGCTCCGGGGGGCCCACCGCCACTTGAGCCAAGTTTCTGCATGAGCACCGGGAGAGGGTTTAGGGTTTAGGGTTTAGGGTTTAGGGTTTAGGGTTTAGGGTTTAGGGTTTAGGGTTTAGGGTTTAGGGTTTAGGGTTTAAAGTTTAGGGTTTATAGGGTTTAGGGTTCCTAAACCCTAAACCCTGACAGGGTCAGGGCGTTAGGTGGTGCAGAGGAGTCAAATAACGTGTTTTTGAGTAGAGACCTGGGCTTTGAGGAAAATAGAAGGCTTGGGGAGTTGTAGGGTTTATGCAAGGCACATCCGTAGTTTCCTCTCTGGAAGTACGGTCTATGTTTCTTTTTTTTGCAAGAAAGCCCACTGCCAAGGAAATACCAAACATGGTTATTGCAAGTTCTGTAGGGTTTAGGGTTTAGGGTTTGGGCCCTAAACCCTAAACCTAAACCCTAAACCCTAAACCCTACACCCTAAACCCTAAACCCTAAACTGCAAGTTCTGTGGTTTCAGTCCTTCGACATTCAGCGACTTCAGCAGCCCGCGCGTTTCTTTGATGGTCTAAAGGGCTTAAAGAGCGGCAGCCTTGCGCGCCAGGACGGGCCCGAAACCCTATGGTTTAGGGCTTAGGGTTTTAGGATTTGGAGCTTAGGGTTTGGGGCTTAAGGCTTAGGATTTAGGTTGGGATGTTCCCCCTTATACTGGCAGGTCTTAATATTGGACAATCCTTACTAAGGACTGTTATAGTGTAAGGGTGTACATCCCAGGATTTAGGGTCTAGTTGGCGACCAAGGAGAGTCAAGAGCAAGATGACCAGTCCTGCTTCTCCTTCTTCGCGTGGCTTCTTGACGGCATCTTCGGGACAGAAGCTGCAATGAAGCCCTTAAAACACTAAGCCCCAGACCCTGAATCCTAAACCCTAGACCCTACCTAAACAACACGTATGTACAGGGTTTATAGGGTTTTTCAGGAGGATTTTGAACAACTTGGTTGGCAATTGGCCGAAGGTATTTGATGCCATGAACCCGACATGAAAGCCCACAAGCCCCAAACCCCAAAACTCTGAAACCCGCAACCCTCGACCCCAAACCCATAAACTCATAAGAGCCCCGAAGCTCTGAAGCCCCTGCGCCGAGGAATTGCAACTGGTTCCAGCCTGCCGTGCAGGGTCTGAGTGATGAGGCTTGCCGGCCCGATGGCTTAACAAAAGGAACTGGCGCGCAGTACTGGCCCCAAACCCTGAACCCTGAACCCTGAAATCTGGGGCTTGACGCTAGCAAAGTCCCAACAACCCATCAGTTGTCCATCTCTCTGCCTGAATATCAGGGGTCATACTATGACGAACAAAGGCCGTTCCCAGATCCGGCTCGGCTTTCCCCATCGCTGGCGGAGTCGAAACATCAGGGCGCACCTGCCGATCATGTGCATCCTCGAACCCTTACCGATGCATTAGAGCCTTGCGTTTCTGCCGTTCCGCTCAACGAAGCAAGTTTGTCCTGCGCCGTTTCGCTTGCAACGACGGTACACCGGTAAATCTGCTGGCCCTTCGCACTGGGTCGTGCCAGAGTGCGCTGAAACGCGTGAGTGCTGCCAGCAGGAGGCCTTTGATGCCTGCTACGATTGAGGCAGTCATTGTGTGGTGCTCGCGCTCGGGGTCATGCGCCCCCTGGAGAGCTCCTTCGGACCGCTCCCGGTGATGGCCACAGGCCGATGTCGATGGCACTCCACCCGAGCTGAGCAAGCAACCTTGCCGTCTGTCCCGATAGCTTTAGATAACTTATTGTGCTGTCCAGCATTTCCAGCATGAGCATGGCAGCTCACGAGATGTTATTAGCCCCGAGCATCCACAGCGACTTTTCGTCGGCGCCCCGCATCAACAATCAAAGCCAACGGCCAACCCAGCTGTTGCGCAGCCACGCCGCGTGCTACGCGTCAGCCTCTGCAACTGGATATTGCCAATTTGCTCTGTGTCAGTGCTGCA